GAGCCAGGACAAGGGGCCTCCAGGGGCGTTGCCTTGGCCATCCCTGCGGGGGCCCAGGAGGAGCGGGGCCGGGATTGCCCAGGGCTGGCGCGGGCCTCGGCCTGCAGGCCCGGGAGGCCCGGGAGGCTCCGGGAAGCTGCGCCTGCCCCTCCCTCGCCCTCGGCTGCCTGGGTGGGAAGTCCCCCCCTTCTCGGGCATGGGGGTTGGAGAGCGTGCCAGCTCTGTGCCCTCTCCTGCCAGGTGTCCCTCACCCGCCGTTCAGCCCTTGTCCTCTGGCCGGGCCTCCCTGGCTATCGGTGAGGCTTAAACTAGACGGGCGGGCGGGCGAGGAAAGCCGCCCAGACACGGCGCTGGGAGCAGCCCAGCCTGCAGCCCAGAATTTGCCCCTTGGGGAACAGGAATATCTAAACCTGTTTAGCAGTTTTTCTTGGAACAAAGGGAAACATTTCATACCCAGAAAATCCACCCAGCTCCCCTTCCAGCCAGAGAGAAGGAGGGAAGGGGGTGAGAGAGTTTGCTTGTCATCAGGGGACCACCCACCACGCAGACCAGGCCACGATCCCCGCCCCCCGCCCCCAGCGTGATTTTCTGGAAATATAGGGTGTCCCCAAAAGTGTATACACACACTTTGGATAATTATAAAGGCCGTGCTTATTAAAATACATTTCATTTTCAAAATGGAGCTACCAGCTGTTACGGTGTGTATATATTTTGGGGGGATGCCCTGTATAAGGAATGCCTTCTTTTCTTGCAGCAAAGGCCCTGAGACAGGAATTAGCCCCATTTTCCAGATGGGAAAATGGAGGCCCAAGAAGCAAAGTCATTCGCTCTTCCTGTCAGTGGCCAGAACCCAAGGTCTCTGGTTCCCCAGACCAGGCTGCTTTCCTCGCCTGCCGCCGGGAACCAGGGGCCTGCCGGATATGAAGCGTGTTGCCAGACTCTGTAGGGGACCGTTGTCTGGTTTTCCTGACCCCAGGAGTTTATAGTTAACTGGCAAGGACAGAGCAAACCCTGGTGGAGAGGTTCCAGGCAGTTTACAGAAGAGAATTCAGAGGGGTCGACAGAGAGCACACGGAAGCCGTGGGCCCTGATGAAGTCACCTCACGCTTTAGTGAGTTCCACAGGCATTGCTTTTTTTTAAAAAAAATAGATGTTTTTATTGATTTCAGAGAGAGAAACATCAATGATGAGAGTCATTGATCGACTGCCTCTTGCAAGCCCCCTACAGGGGATCAAGCCTGAAGCCCAGGCTTGTGCCCTGACCGGAAATCGAACCTGCAACCTCCTGGTTCATAGGTCAACGCTCAACCGCTGAGCCACGCCGGCTGGGCACAGACGTCGTATTTTTTTATAAACTGAAGGCAAGACCCTCCCCTGGCCAAACGATGACCCCTGTCTTTATTGGGGTGTTCTGGGACCGAACCCGAGGTCCCCCAGGACGGATAACACGCTTACACTGTGCATGAGCCTTGGACAAGTTACGAACAGTGAAAGAAGCCGGACACCAAAAGCACAATATTGTGGGACTCCACTCGTGTGAAATACGGACCCGGCACATTCACAGAGGGGGGCAGGATGGGAGCTGCCCGGGGCTGGGGCCGGGGGCGGGAGCTGTTCAACGGGGACAGAGTTTCAGTTCGGGGCTGATGCAAATGTCCTGGGGACAGATGGTGGTGCCGGTTGCCCAACCACACGATTGTCCTTCATGCCACTGAACTGCCGGTTTCATCGCGGTGAACGTGGTACATTCTCTGTGATGTGTATTTTACCAGGATACAGAAATATTTTGCAAAGCGGTCGGTGGGTGCGGTGGTTCTCTGGGCCTCCAAGCGGAGACGGAAGAGTATTGAGTGATCGGATGCCATCTGGGCTTTTCGGTTTTTTGTTTGTTTTGTATGTTCTTTGTTACCAAAAAGAAATCCACCAAAAATAATACTAAATATGCTGTGTGTCCATATGTTAAAGAACAGAAACGGTCGGGAGAAATACCCCCCTAGTGGCCCAGGAGACAGGATGGGGGACCGAGCGAGGTGCTCAGAGGGGATCCTAGGCTGTGGCCTGTTTCTTTCTGAAGGAGGCTGGTGGTGCAGGCTGAAGAACAGCCCCCCCGAAAACCCACACCCCGATCCCCAGCACCTGCCGACGAGGCCTCCTGCAGAGAAGGGGCCCGGCAGGTGGGACTCGGTCAGGGATCCTGAGATGGGAGCCGCCTGGGTTGCCCAGGTGGCCGTGTGTCCTTATAAGAGGGAGGGGGAGCTCGAATCGGGGGCCGTGTGGCGGTGGAGTGGAGCTCGGAGGGGTGTGCGTGGCAGATGGAAGGGGGCCGCCAGCTCAGGAGTGCCCAGGCCTCTAGAAGCTTCCGGGAGGAACCGGTCCTGCCAACACCCTCCCTTGAGGACTCCTCGACTCCTGATGTCCGGATGGTAAGAGGAAAATCTTGTTTAAGCTGGTGGTGGCCCGTTAACATGGGAAACACATACGGATGGATTCATACATCACACGGGCAGTTAAAGGAAAAGTGAGCCCTGGCTGGCTGCTCAGTGGTTAGAGCGTTAGCCCCAGCACCGCAGGGTGTGGGGTGGGTTCAATTCCTGGTCAAGGGCAGGTACCCGGCTTGCGGGTTTGATGCCTGGCCCGGTCAGGGTGCGTGCAGGGGGCGGCCCATCGGTGCGTCTCTCTCACGTCAATGTTTCTCTCTCTCCCTCCCTCCCTCCCGGCCTCCCTTCCACTCTCTCTGAAAATTGATGGAAAAAAATATCCTCGGGGGAGGGTAAAGAACAACAAGAAAAGAAAACATTACAAAAATGATGAAACTGAAAGACGGAGGGGGCAGATTGGGGGGGATCAGATAAGGCGGCCCCTCCTGAAAGAAGAGAGAGACAGGAGGGCTTCTGGAAATCGCAGCCAGGAGCCGGGGTCAGGAAGTGGGGGGCGGCCGAGGGTGAGATGATGTCAGGCCCCAGCCTGTGCGGAGCCCCCTCCAGCGAGCGAGACCCGGGGCGGGGGGGC